CCATCTGAAATGGTTCACTTCATACATAGTGAACTGGCCACATTTACCAATCCCCATGGTAGTGTGCTCTCCACCTTGTTCACATGGAACTTAGAAAGACTATGGACTCAAAGCTACAGCCAGGTAACTACACTACATGGCATAGACTGAAAAGCACATCAATTAACTTTTAGGTTTACCTTTAGGATGTTGCTACAATATTTTCTCAAAGTCCTGGAGTGCATGGAGGGATTTTCTCAGTCACACCACCCCATTTATAGGCTCTGAAGGACCAGGGCAGTGTACTTCGTGAAAGGTACAGAGAATCTTGGAATACTTTCTCAGATGTATGAAGGAACAGATTTTTACTTCATTTATTTACCAGCTAGTATATAATTGCATGCCCCAATAAGTACTGGTTTGAGGAATATTATTACTGTTGCCATCTCAGAGTTCAGTGTCATTTGGACAGGAGACAGATTACACGTTTTTCATTATACCTGCGATTTATCAAGTTGTATACTCTAGTTCATTATCCGTTTTTAAGGAAATTATAAAAGGAGTGTGTCTTAAGATCTGTAAATTGTTACTCCATGTTTTGTCTAGCTCACCCAAACAATAGAAAGTCATGTCTGGTTTCACCAGAGTATGAAAGGTACAAGATTAGTTTGTTTGTTCTTCTAACTTTCTTTTCTCAGGTGTGGGATACCACGTAATAATTGTGAAGGAACCTCAATGTAAAGTTGAAGAAATCATCAACCTGTTTCATGATCATATACCAACAGCCACTTTGGAGAGCAATGTTGGAAGTGAATTATCATTTGTTCTACCCCGGGAGTACACCAACAAGTATGTATCCAGGAAAGTCTAAATGGTTGATTTTTTCGGTAGCCAGTAACTGAAAAAAAATTTTTTTTCTTGATTTCTACAGGTATAAACAAATAGAATTTTTCCAATAGGTCAAAATTTCAGTCATAGCTTCCACTTGCATGGAGGAAAGGATATCCCCTAGCTGCTATGACTTTATGGTGTTCATTGATAGCAATGAATAACTGTAGGTAGAGTACGAATTTTCAGTCTGTGAAGAAAAATATTAAGATAATTTTAAAAAATCGCTGAAAGGGTGGTTCTTGGAGTCAGGGTGACAAGAAGCCAGATGAAATAAACATTTTGACTGCACCCTTTAGATAAATGTTTCATCCAAAGGAGATACACACACACACACACACACACACACACACACACACATACAAATAAATAAATACATAAAATAACTGTGCCTGGGCTAGATAGCCATGCCAAAAAAAAGGTACACGTAAACTAAGAGTATTCATGACTTTCAGAGAATATGATTTTATTTTTTGCCATAAGTAAGCATTTACTTTGGTGTTTCTGAGACTCGAGGCAGTTGTAATATATAAGAATATGAAGGACTTCAATGTTTTCATTTTTAGGAAAAGAGAACTAGAATTAAACCTAAGCCTCCACCCCCCTGCCATCAAGGTTATTCTGATGCCTCGCAAGCGTGTCTCGGGTTTTGAAGATTGCAAATCTTTACAGGAGCACAGAGCCTAATCTTTTCCCTCAGAGGGGTGTGGGAAGGAGAGTGGGAATAGACACACAAATATGTATCGAAATGCCAGAGGATATTTGTTCGTGTGTATTTCTCTCTGCTGCAAATATAGCCATGGATGTAGTAAAGCCCCCGGGAGGGACAAATTTATGAATACTTTTTATTGTTGTTAGATGCTATCAAGTCAATTCCGACTCCTAGTGGCTGTATGTCCACCAAAGAATGTGGCAGAATGAAACACCGCCCAGTCCTGCACCATCCTCAACATTGTTGTGTTTCAGCCCACTGTTACAGCTACTGTGTCAATCCATCTCATTGAAACCCTTCCTCTTTTTTACTGCCCCTCAATGTTACCGAGCATAATGTCCTTGTCCAGGGACTTCTCTCTCCTGATAACCTGTCCAAAGTATGTAAGATGAAGGCTCCCAATCTTGCCTCTGAGGAGCATGCTGGCTATACTTCTTTTTATTTTTTATCATTTTATTGGGGGCTCATACAACTTTTATCACAATCCATACATACATCAATTGTGTGAAGCACATTTG